TATTTCATATTTCTTTAATTTTAGTTGTAATTTGCTTTTTCTGCTTTGTTTGTTTTTGCTTTTGGTTTTGTTTGTTTCTGGCATTACAATCGATAACACCCCAGAATCTTTCCTCCACACACTGTTAGACTTTCTATTTTCTCATATCGTTCTCGGTTAGCAGGTATGGGGCTAATGAACCGCACTAGGGGAGAATCAGGGGGTCAGCTGTAGCAGTGTAGCTTCCTCCCACCGGCCTGACCAACACATGGTCAGTCAGGCCACCTACAGAACAGTCATTCCTCATTGGCAACCATATTTGTGAATCTCAAAGACATGGGAAGAAAGAGAAAAGGAACAGTATAAGAAAATAAGGTAACAACCTCAAAGCAAGCAAAACATTCACCATAATACGGGAATAGCTTTCGTGGGATGCTGGCTGCTGGGAAGATACTTGCTTCCCAAAGAACCAGCTGCTGTGTGGCTCACAGAAGGACAAAGTACCAGGAAATACTCTAATAGCATTTGCACTCTCCCAAGCCAGCAGGACTTCAAGAGTGCTCCGTGTGAACGCCTTCTGTTTTGTCCATGTAGCAACCTGATCACTTGTATAAGGGAGGAAATAGACGGTTTTCTTAAACTTACCTTGAGATCATAAGCTTCCAGTTATAAAAATAAGAAATAGTATATGAAACCCAGAGTTGGATCACTCACTGGCTTCAGGATTCTCAATAGAGTTATTATGCTATAAAGCAACAGGTAAGGGGAGATTAAGGTTTTATACTAGTATTTCAATATCTTGGTATCTGTGCATTTGACAAAGGCCTGTATCATAATGGCAATGTTTAAAGAATTAAAAGGCCATTTCCTCTTTTGTAAATCCAGTTTTTGAAACAGAACACTTCAGGATGAAATGCAATAGCCACAGATCTTGAAAATTCAAGTAAGAAATATCCAGTAAAAAACATCAATCCAAGAGCCCAATTTGTGTGTTTCTTTTCATACTTCAATAACTTACTTAATACTGAATAACCTTCACTTTGGCAGGAGGAGAGAAAAAAGATAAAAGGTTTTCCAGCATGTGATAGCCCATGATATTTTCATCAGTGTTGGTCACATTGTGCTTTTGGCCATGCCCCGGAAACCACAACCCTCAATTACATTTGCTTTCAGACATGTGGAAGAAACACATGCTAAAACAATTAGCCAAATTATGACATTTACATTTTTCCCCTGACTGTCGGTCCTCATGATTCTTCAGCATATGATTTTACGGGCACCAAAACAATGATCATAAATCAAGCTGGCCACATTTATCCTTACCTAGCACTTTGAAAATGTCAAAAGTAAAATAAGAGAAAAAAAAAGTTTTTCCATAAGCTAAGCTCTCTCTGGCACCCAGAACGCCACGTGACAGTGGTCATAAGGCAAAGCCTCACATCTTACACCCCTAGGGAGCCAACCGCAACAGACAGCCAGCTTCTTTACGTACTAGCCACTCTGCGAATGTCTTCCTTGCCTTGGGTCTGCCTTCTTCTCCCTCTGTTCACAGATTTCAGGGCTCACAGGATGAAATGTGTACTGCAACCTGCAACTGATGACTTTTAAGTTGAAAAGGAAAGCAAAGTATCCAATTTTCACATTATCACTCTCTGGAGATTTATAGCCACAGTGGCAAGGGAATCTTCTAAATCGATCAGCTTGTATATAATAGAACATCTTGGAGAGCCCAAGGAGTGGTGAGCATTTGCTTGTATCCTTATTACTTAATTTATTGGCGTCTGACGATAGTTTGCCATTGGCTTTATGTATTTATACTTCCACAAACACTTGCTAGTCACCTCCAAAGACCCAGGCACACAGGCTCTGTGGGTACGAACAAGAAGACACACACTTTCAGGAAGCAGAAGAGATAGCCAGACACACAAATGGGAGCACGTAATGGGAGAGATGATCACAGAGTTCAGGCACGCTAAAGCACGGATGAGGAAGAAACAGACTGTGAGTCACAGCAGAGCCCGTGGTCCTGACCACAGCCCAGGTCTTTGTCTTTGGCGATGGTATGAATACCTGTAGCTCTCCTCTGCTCCTCCTCTGTATCTCTCCAGCCTATGGACCGGGCCAGCAGGCTCTCTTGCCCTGAGACTAAAAATGAGAAAGCTGCAAAGACTTCAGGCTCCTTAGGCCCCTCTGTATCCCTACTTGGATTTCTGGTTTCTACCTCGAGCCACATCTCTTGTCAGGGGCGTTTTCTATATACCTCCCATGCCAGGTACCCGGCCTCACCCTCTGCTACTTTTTGGTCCAGAGAGCTATTACATTGTCCCTTGTGTTCCCTAAGCCTTGCCCATATCTTTGTAAGTTAAAAAAATCATTAAACTCTATAGCTATCAGCTGGAGAACATTGTCCATTCTTGATAGGATTCTGCCTGCTGCAGTAACTCACCAGAAATTTGAGGAATTCAACAAGTTCAGTGTTAGTCTTACAGAATTCAACTCGGAAGCACAGAATATGGTTCATTGGGCAAGTCCACTGCAAAAGCCTTAAGCAGCACTGCCTTCTAATGATTTCATGTCTAATCCAGGAAGACTGTGATTGTGGAAAAGACCCCATCCCCGCAGTCTTGCCACTGACAAGTCAAATAACAGTGAGGTTTCTCAACAAGCAAGCTGTGTTAATCCATCCTACAATATCTATCTCCACCATTGCATTATTACCATGCCCTATTCTTTTATCCTCCAATATTATTTCTCTGTGATTGTTCACAAAAACACAATCTTTAAAAAAAAAAAAAAAAAAAACCCATAGTCTTTCCTAATGGAGGATCATCTTCATTTCTAGGTTACAATCTCCCATAAAAGTCATGGTTCGTAAGTATGTGTTCTTATCCCTTACTAATTTTTGTTACAGGAGTCTCACCATGAACCTTATCAAGAGTGAGAAGACACTTCTATTGCTCCTCTGTTCAACACCGCTCAGTTTTCAGTTGGGTCAATTCTGAACAGAATTCTCCAAGATTTCCATAGCCCTAATCCCTGATGGAGACACATTCAGTTTAATCAAACACCATTTTTATCGCTGCTGTGAAGAGTTTTCAAAGATAATTAAGTTCCAAATCAGCTGTCACTAGAGATATTATCTAGTGGATCAAACTGAATCATGTGATCACTTAAAAGCAGAGGGTTGAAGAGGATTCACAGTTGGCTTACTACTGTCCTAGAAGGGTAGAAATCTCCATACCTCTAGATGTTTATAGAGACCACGAGGCATGGAAACCAAGGTGGTTTCCAGGAGCTTACCTAAGTTCTCAGCCAACAACTAGTAAGCAAATGGGACCTCCTGAGGTGGAGTCTCTGAACAACCTGTGGGTGCAAAAGTCTCCAAGATCCAGACAACTGCCATAACCCAAGCTCACATCTTCAATACAGTCCACAAAACATCCAGTCAAACTGTGCTAGCATTATGCTCATCAAAAATTACAAGATAATAAAACTGTAAGATGATTGTAATATGCCACAGAGCGATGGAAAACTAACACAGGCTATATTGTAACTTTGAAATGTCTTTGAGAAAGAAGTTAATTATTGTAAGTGATTTTTTCATAAAAATTGGATTAAGATATATTATCCGTTACTCTGCCTAATTAAATAGTACTTGATTATTATTTGTTACTTGATTATTAATAGTTACTTGATTATTATTTGTTAAATGGAACAGGTATGAAATGACTTAAGAATTTTGATCTGATAGAGAAGGCTTAATTTTAAAGGCATCAGTTATTTCCTGGGCTCTGTAGTTACCATTATCTGTCATCTTTTGCTGAAAGAACATACGTTTTTGGGATCCCTTGATGTGAGGCTATGTGACTTACAGTGCCAGTAGCAAGCAGAAGTCAATTGATTTCTCCCCAGCAGAAGCCTCAAGAAACATCCTAGGCTTCACCCTGTCATTTTTTGTCTGTGTCAGTCAGTAATACGCTCTGGGTAAATGTTTTACCTATGGTGAAACCCAAAGTGATAGGAAGGAGTCCTAGCCAACCCATAATTGGCACGTGGTCTGACCAAGAAATAAACATCTGTAATTATGAGGTGTTAAGATACCTGGGGACTTTGACATTACAGTTTGTAGTACCCATGTCACCTAATATAGACACCCAAGAGACTGATGCCACCAAGTTATTCAAAGCTGCAATACCTCACTTACATGTGAAAACTTAAAAAAAAAAATTGAATGCATGGAAACAAAGAGTAGAATTGTTGTTACCAGCACCAAAAAATGAGGAAAACTGAAACATATTGGTTGAAGGATACAAATTGATGTTATATAGAATGAGTAAGGCTGGAGATCTAATGTGGAGATAATAATTACAGTTAATGATGCTTTATGATATGCACGAAATATGCCAAGTTTATTTCAAGTGCTTTTAACACACACAGATAATGATATGACATAGATATATTGATTTTCTTCACTACAGATTTCTACTATATATGCCAATATTATGTTATACATCCTAAATATATAAAACATTACGGAAAAAAGGGAGAAGTGGATATGCATTTTTATTTGTTCTAACTACTTCCTGAGTGAGTATAATTTTTTTAATTCCTCCTGTCATCTCTAAACATCTCCTTTCAAAACATAGGCTTCTTTAAATACTGTCTTGTTTCAGAGATGGTGCTAGACTTTGGAGTCTGGAAGGGTCCTGCCCAAAACAAAATGTGCGTAGGTTTCTTTCAAAATGTGCGTAGAAATTCTTCTTATATGTATGTAATTTTTGTTTGCTTTTAGAAGTATGGTCTTATATCAAGATTTAAATAGAAAGGGGCCCTCCATGTGGATGAGTCATTAATTATAGTAAAACATTAACTCATATATATAAAATCATGCAAAATATTCAAGAAAGCATTGAATCTTAAATGGTTTAATCACAAGAAGAGATAATAAATAATATTCCTTGTCAAGAAGCTGTAAAAGTCTGTGAGAACTGCAATCAGATTTCCAGCAATTAAACTCTTACCTTGCTTTGCACCTCAAATGATGTTGCAAAGAAACACTATTGTTGGCTGGCTGTAGAGGGGGCCATGGAACGATCCTAGTCCTGGAGATCACATGATACTTATTCTAAATGCTGTAAGGATTCAAAGAGAATGTAGCCTTTAACTTCATCAGTCTGTGAAGTTTTGGAAACTTAGATTTTTCATCTTATAACTTGTGGATTATGAAAAAAGCAGATGAAACTTTGCTTGTTGAAATAAATACCCATTAAAAGATTCTTGTTTGTTATTGCTTTCTGATTCTGAATCTACAATATAAAATTTTCCACATTGTGGAAGTAGACAAAAACCATAATAGACAGATACTCATGAATAACTTTGGAACAATATTTGTTACTTCCCCTAGTATGTTCCACTTTTCCTTTAATCCTTCTGGACCATGATTCTTCTATGAGAAAATATTCCCTCCATCTTTAGCTCAATTGTCTCTACTGAGTTTAATTTTACCAAACTCTCTTGTTCTCAGAATCCCTTCCAGTTTCTTCTTAAGTAAGATAAAAACTGGTTAACAGCTGTTACAAAGTTTTGTTTCTTACATGGCTGGATTGTCCTCTGTCCAAGTAGAAAATAAAATTCTTGAAGCAATTCATGATGTGAGAAGGACCATTCAGCCTCCAGGTAAGCTCTTTGCTCTGTAGAATATAAAATAGAATAGAATAATATGAACTGAAGACCAACTCCCATCTTCCCAGCTCAACAATGAGGATTCTATGATTTTGTCTTCCCATAACAACTTTCAATCAAAATTACCTAGTTTCTTTGTTTTCTCCTTGAATGTCCAGTCTGAGGTCATTCGAATGTTTTCCCCTACCAGTGAGATTTCTCTTTCATTGTTCTCAAAGTCCTCTTTCTCAACTCTAAGTGCCAAATCAAAACTCACACAGTCTTCCAGGTCTAATGACTTTCCTTGGTCTACGTACTCTGTGGTTTGGTTAATAACTTCAGTCAATGTGAAGCACAAAATTCTTAGTGCCTACATGGGTCTGATTCTTTGTTGGATGTTGGAGCTATAAAGAGGTACATGATGGTCCTTGTGAATTGTTATCATTTAGATCAAAAATGTCTGCAAAAGTCTCATGTGTTTGGAAGGTGATTGGATCGTGTGGTACTATGCTCATTAGTGGACTTCTCCAGGATGAATTTAGTGGCTCAATATGAATTTGGAGGTGGACAGTGGCTGGAGGTGAATCTTTCAGAGTGTGACCTGGAAGGGTGTGTTATTTCTGGATGCCACAGTGTGGATCTTTTTTCAATACCATGTCACATAATTCTGCCTTGTAATCAATGTCTGATGAGTGATAATAATCAGAGTTCCAGGAGCAGAATGCTCATAAGAATGTGGACAGCAAAGGCTAGATTCATGAGGATTTGTCAGGGTTCAAGAATTTCATGATCAATTCTCTCACTGTTAAGCCCTGTCATACCCTAGAGTGATCTGTGTCATTCATTTGCCATAGTAATTATAAAAGCATACACACGCTGGCTTCTGACAAACACAGAGATACTTTGCGTTCAGCAATGCAAAGAAATTTCTCTTCAGTGATTCAAAAGCTTTGTGAGGTCAAAGACACTGGTGTGCTGTTTTGTGACTTTGCTCCTTCTAAGATCAACACAGTATGCCTGAAACTGTATCACAATGGTAATTGCAAATTCTGGAGGTGAAATCCAGTCTCAGCACAACCGAGTCACATTAGCTGTTAGTTCTTAAGCCAAATTCTCTAAGTCTCCTTATTGGTAAATTGGGACAGTGAATCTACTTACCTTAGAGGTTTTGAGAAAGCTAAATAAGATACCAGGTTTATAGTTCTTAACACAATGCCTGTCACATCATGGGAAGTTAATAAATAAGTATTTTATATCTCTCAATATACACAAAATGCAAGTGGCTGGCAGTTCAAAGATACAATTTTGCTGCCTCTATAGAGTTAAGAGCAGAGCTATAAAGAACACCTTTTACAGGATGAATCCTTCTGAGATTAAAATATAAAATGTAAGTTTTATACTTTAACATAGTCTTGAAAGCATGTTTAAAAATTCCAGTTCTTATTGACTAAGGCACCTATGGAAGGTTTTGATGTAATCCATCCGCTTTTGAATAGTAAACTGTGAGGATCAGCGTAGAACTGTTTATGTCTTGTTCTGTTGGTGTGAACAATAGAAAATTAGTCAGGTGGATGAGTCCTGGTTTACATGCTCAAGACTTCTTCAGGTTAAGCTTGGTGGTCCAGTATTTTTATAATGACACCTTTTCTTTCTTTCTTTCTTTCTTTCTTTCTTTCTTTCTTTCTTTCTTGTGCTCAGTGCTGGATGATAAATTACTTAGCTACTCAGCTACATGAACTTCTTTTCTGCTTTCCATCCAAGGCTAGAGTGTCAGGCTGGAATTAAACCTGACTTTGCCACTAGCTAACCATATGACAGTGACAAGCACTAGCCTTGTCTGCTAGGGAAATGTATTAGTCTGTTCAAGCTGCTATAACAAAATATCAAATATTATATGACTTCTGAGCAAAATAACTGCATTTCTTATATTTCTGGAGGCTGGAAAGTCCAAGATCAAAATGCCAGTGGAGTCAGACTCCAGAGAGGGCCTGCTTTCTGGTTCATAAATGGTGCCTTGAAGCCATCTGCTAGCATGGTGAAAGAGATAGTGGATCACCTCAAGGCCTCCTTTACAAGGGCACTCATCCCATTCACAAGGGCTCCAACCTCATGACCTAAGCAGCTTCAAAAGACTTCAACTCCAAATACCCTTATTTTAGAGATTAGGTTTCAACATGTGAATTTGGATATGGATACTAATATTCTGGCTATAGCAATAAACCTGGATTTTTGGTAAAGTAAGAACAATACCCACCTAACTCATATGGCTGTTGATATAGTTACAGGAGTACATAGGACCTGGCAAACAGAGGTGTGCAAAGATGAGAATTTGCATTTTCTTTCTCTCTGCCTTATGTGTGTGAACAGAAAATGCCACTAGCATCACTGTGTGTGTGTGTGTGTGTGTGTGTGTGTGTGTGTGTGTGTGTGTGTGTGTGACTGCAAGGCCAATGGGCCTCTTCCTGCACACAGATTTTGCCAGTCAGTAGAAAGGGAAAGTGCCCTCCTGGGGGTGAGTCTCAGAGCATTCAGAAGAGAGACCAGGGCCCGATGGCTCCTGATTACAGCCCTTAGCTGTAATCATTCAATTACAGCCTTTTATGTACTATTTTACTGTATCTGAAAGGAGCAGGGATATCTGGATATCTAATAGCTACATTTACTGGGAGGTGAACTGCTAAAAATAGTCCCACAATCTGTGGGAAGGCTTCCAGGAAATGCTTGACTTGTTAGAGCAGAACTGTAGCATCTGTTAATCGAGTCCTTCATCTGAATCACTTACTTAGGCTGCTTTTACAGTGCAGAAGGCATGGGCCTGCTTTTATCAAGCAGAATGGATAGAATAGTGGAATCTTGAAGAAATACAGTATTTAAAAAGGAATTGAAGATGAATAGTGAATCATTTACGAAACGTACCAGAATTATTTTTAGTCAATTTAAATTTGGAATCGGTGTTATAAATCACATACCACCACACAGAAAGCAATTTGTAAGTGTTTCTATGTGAATGAGGTTGTCCCTAGAATTCCAGGCCCTTTGTGATGATGTGCATTTTCATCTCACATCTAAAGAAGGAGACACAGAGGAACCACACCTTTGCTAAAAATTAAATACAGTAAAATATCTTTAAAATTCACAGATGGGCACTTCTGTCTGCATTTCAGAATACTTACATTGAAAAAGCCCTACGTGTTTTGTACTTCTTGCAAAGGGCAGTTGATTAGGATAAATTTCCACTGTCAGAATTTTGGAGTCTGGCATTTTCCTTGAGTTTAAATATTACATCACTAAATGTTGACTATAGTTCAATGCCACTGGTTTTTAAATTTGAATTAGAGTTAGTTATCAAAAGGTCAGACATCACAAATACTTCTCAGAGAAGAATACTATTGAAATGAAATATAGTGCACACATAGAAAGCATTTTCTTAAAAAATTATAGTATATGACTGTAGACAGCATGGGAGAATAGTTGATAAGACTCCAAACTTAAATACCTAATTTCTTTTGAATTTTAGCATAATAAATGAAAATACCACCTGAAGTTAAGATATGGCATAATTAATCATCTGCTGAAAACACAGCATTAAGGTGTTTTTTAAAGATTAACTAGAGTCATTCACAAGGTATCAAAGACATTTTTAAAGAACTTCCCTTCACTTTTGACAAAGCAAATGGTAGATTTAATTAAGGAGATACTTACGGCACTGTCCTGAAGAAATAAACACCTTTACATGTTGTGAACACTATTTTGAAGTGAGAACTGAGCTCCCCTTCTCCTTGTTGGTTTCACATTGTTTATTTCTCTAAAAGATAGGCGATAGTCTCTGACAAAAATCTTTCAATGGGCTGTTAAGCAATCACTTGTGGTCAGGTCCACAGACAAAAGCCTTTTTATTGACTGAGTTGGGTCAGGTTTCCAGACTTTCTCTATTCTTTCTCTTGCCAAGAGGACAAAACAAGACACAAGAGGAGTGTCCTGGGGCCACATATCCTTACAAATTTTTTCAAAAGAAGCAAGAATTAAGAAAGTTGAGTTACGAATGGATCTGTGTCCAGATTCCCAAGAGCCTTTGGCTTGCTGGTCCACTCTTTATTCCATTAAGAAGCAGCAGTGTCTATCTGTCTGGAATGGCATCTCTGGGGAAAAGATGCAAGTAAACAGGACGGGGACTCAGGATTTCTCTCTTAACTCATTGTGACACACTAGGTCCTCAATCCTGCATTTCTGTCAAACGATTGGTGACCAGACCTCTGCTGAGCTCTTTTCCTACTGATAACTCTGTGTTTCTTGCCTTATGCATAGGCCAGATAGTTATTTATTTATACATTGGTAAAAATTAAGAATGTTATTTGTGAAATTTCACAATTCAAAATAATTTTCCTTAGTCATTTTTTATGATTCACTTTTTACCACTTTCCTTGAGGTTCCGATTTTAATCATATTTAGAAAGGAAATGGAAATGTGCACAGTTTACTTGGTGCCAAATGTCACAAAACAATAACCAAGATTATAAATATGAGGAGCGGTGAGAGACAGCGAAAGGTAACAAGGTCATGGAAGGAAACAATTTCTTAACATGCCTGTTGATGAGTTAGGAAGCAGGTTGATACATGCCTTGTGTACCTGGGTGTGCATATAAACATGTGTGCAGAGGAGGTGGGTGTCAGGAAGGCACGGTCCAAGAAGTGATGAAAGGTCACATGGCTGTCATTTTTATGCATATTTAAAATTCATTATTCTTCCATAAAACTAAAATGTGAGTAGTTAAATAGGTGCTACTAAAGCAAGATATGGAGCTTGTGGTAACAGGAAGAACTGCAAAGAATCTTGGGGAAAGTCAAAGATTATTTTAATATTCAAATTATTAAATAAAATCTAGTTTTAGTTGCTCTCAGCTTTGTTATGCAGCATTCACTTAGAAGTATTAGGACTCATGTGTGTGCGCTCGCACGCGCTTCTGTGTCTGTGTGCGTCTAGCTGTCTAATTGTCTTCTTGTGGCTGATGTTCTGAATTGCATTAAATTGT